GTGGCCATGTTTGGGTCGGGCTGTGAAGTGGGGCCGGGCGCCATTTTGGAAGCGGGCGCTGCCAGAGGAGGCGCTCTCGGTGGAAAACGTGGCCAAAAGCAGCGTGAAGCTGCTGGTTTATCAAATATGTGGAGATAAAGGCTAGAGGCGCTTAAACTGCTGTTTTCTTAACAGTCGGTGACTTCCCAGTGAGGACTGGTGTAGCAGTACCCTCTGACTGAGTCTCTAAAAGTACTAAATGCCAAGTACTGAGGTGAAAAACTCTGAAAACTGGAAGAAAAGGCACAAGAAAAGTTATAAACAAAGTTATATTTGTCCCCAGAGCCAGGGGTGGCCATAGCATGGGCTCGTCGTGCTCGGGAGTGCTGTAAACTCTCCATGGAAGGCTGAGGGAGCACAGTGTCCCGCTGAGGGGAAAGCAAAAAGGGAATGAAACTGCCCCATTTTGAGGGAGTTAACTTTTTTCCAGCGTGGAATAGCGTAGATTAACGCGGCGAGAGCTGGAACGGTACCTGGAGATGTGTTTCTGGCTGTTTGCAGAGACAAGTGGAAGGGGATCGGGATGGACCTGAACCGTGGCAGCCAAACGAGCCGTCCTGGCAGGTCCGACATCGCCAGCCCGGCGCTGTACGTCTGACGGTGCCCAGGGCGGGCAAGCTTTGGAACGCAGAAAGGGAATCTACTGCTGGCTCCATGGATCTGGTAAGTGAAACTCTTCTGAAGCCAAGGACAGAAATAGTCCTGGGTCAGTGAGACTAACAAAGTAGGTTGCTAGTAATTTAACTAGTCTAAATGTAACCAGCGTAGTTTTCCCCAGAAATGATATTGACAGCTGTATACACAGGAAAGAGACATGACTGGTACCTGAACAGGTATGGAATGACTGTATGGAATGACTTCAAGGTTCACCTTCCTTTTCTCTTCCCCTCTGCAAGCTTGCTGTCTCCCTGCAGCGGGAGGACAGGGCTGGCACGCTCTGCGTTGTGCAGACCTTGGTGCCCCCGGGGAGCAGAGACCCACACCTTGCTAGGTGGGTGCCCTGCCAGGCTGCGTGCTGGGGCAGACATACCTGCCTGGGAAGATGCCCCATCCCTGGAAGTGTTCAAGGCCAGGTTGGATGGGGCTTTGAGCAACCTGATGTAGTGGAGGGTGTCCCTGCCAAATACAAAAATACCTTGGGGTCATTCAGTGGATTTTCTGAAGAAAATCACCTGCAGAGAAGTGAATGGGAGATCTGAGACAGGCTGCAAAGCTTTGTAGGACTGCAGAAAGTAGTAGAAACATGAAATACAATGGAATTCTCAGTTCTTGCCGAAGTGTTTTGGAGACAACCTGCGTACTCCTGCAGGAGGGAGGCTGTTGTAAACATACTGATGACGTTTTTAGATTTGTATGTGGGTGTAACTGATAGACTGGTGCAGTTTTGCAATAACAAACCTGAAACAGCAATTCAGCCAGCCTGTGGTGGTGGCCAGTTGAGTCTATACATCAATAAACTGTTCAATACAAACATCCTCATAGACAAGCTGATGGAGTAGGGGCCAGTGAGGTGGACTGAATAGTGGCTGAACTGCTGGGCTCAGAGGGTGGTGATCAAATAAGTCCAGCTGGAGACCAGTCAGTGGTGGTGTCTGGCTGTGGTTGACACTGGTTCCAGTACTCTTTAACTCTTTGTTAATGACCTGGATGATGAAGCAATGTACACTGTCGACAATTTTGCAGATGATGCAAAACTGGTAGGAGCAGCTGATGCACCAGTTGTCTCTGCTACCATTCAGAGGAACCTGGAGATGCTGGAGAACTGGGCAGACGGGAAGCTCATGAAGTTCAACAAGAAGTGCAAAGTCCTGCACCTGGGGAGGAACAACCCCATCCACGGGTACATGCTTGGGGCTGAGCACCTGGAAAGCAGCTTTGCAGAGAATGAGGATGCTGTGGTCCCGATGGACAAAAAGCTGAACAGAAGCCAGCAATGCACCCTCACAGCAAAGAATACCAAGAGCTGCCAGGGCTAAACTGGGAGAACTGTTGGCAGCAAGTCAAGGGAAGTGATCCTTCCCCTCTCCTCAGCACTAGTGAGGCCACGTCTAGGGTGTTGGGTCCAGTTCTGGGCTCCCCTGTACCAGAGAGACGTGAACACAGTGGAGTGAAATTTGGTGGAGAGCTAGTAAGGTAAATGAGGGACTGGGACACCTCTCGTGCAAAGAGAGGCTGAGAGAGCTGGGACTGTTCAGCCTGGAGAAGACAAGGCTCAGGAGCATCTTAGCATCTACCTGATGGGAGCGTTTAATGGAGAGGGAGCCGGGCTGCTGGCAGGGCAGGAGGCAATGGGCACAAACTGAAACACAGGAAGTTCCATCTGAACACAACGAAGCAGTTTTTTGCTGCGAGGGTGGCTGAGCACTGGAACAGGTTGCCTGGAGAGTTTGCTCAGTCTCTTTCTGAGATACTCAGACCCGACTGGACGCAGCTCTGGACAATCTTCTCCAGCTGACCCTGCTTTGAGCAGTGGGCTTGGGCTAGGCGGTCTCCAGGCAGACTTCCAGTTTCAGCTATTCAGAGATTCTGTGGATTAGAGCCTTTCTCAGATAACTCAATCTGTTTATCAGGAGGGAAAAGGAGAGATCCAGAAGAGAATAAAAGAATGCAGCGTGGTGATTTGGGATTACCATCAAAGCTGCAAGTCAAAGGTCTGGTCTGATCTAAGTAACTATTTAGTGAAAGTCACAAAATGTCTTTTTTTTTTCCTCCCTGCACCACCTGCTTTGAGTGTCTATATCACATCTCATCACTGTACAGGGCGAGCCAGCTGGACTAGAGATAAAGTGCTTGCTGTGACAAGGTGGGCTGCAGGGGAGAGGTTTTAACTGGGAGGACTAGAGCTGGCAACCTGGTGGAGGAGGACCTCTTGCAAAGGAGAGTTTGACTGGAGCTAGCGACCTGTGTGGTGGTGAAAAGGCTGCACGTCCCTTGGCCAACAGTAGCCCGTAGCAGTACCCTGCAGTCCGTCTGGGTCAGAGGAGTCTCCCCAAAATACCGAGGCCAATTCTTGTATGTCTGGGCTTTGTCATTTCTGCCAGCAGTCTCCATTTCCCAAATTGGAAGGGGTGAGGGGAAACCTTTCGTTGCACATTTGAAATGCCTTGCTCTGGATGTCTTTTCTTTTTATAGTCTTGCCCCATTTTGTGCTGTCAGCATTTCAGTTAACCACTTCTAACTTCTCGTCAGTCAAGTTCCCTCTTTAAAAAAAACCTAAACAAACCAACAACAAAACAACCTTAAATATACCCTGACAGGTTAAAAACCAGATTAAAATCCATTCAACGTGACCAATTATCATTTGCTGAGTACAATATTCTGTATTTGGTGACCTAAGCTCCCTGAAGCTGGGACAGCAGCTAATCTGGATCACTAAGAATCTCAGAAATGGGATGAGCTAAGTGAATGTGCGGATCAGATGAAATATGGAAGTGGCTACAAGACAAGAGATCAGACACCTGACAGTGGCATGGCAGGGTTTGGAATCATGAAGTACATCAAGCAAAGGTCAGTGTCGTGCCAATAGGCAAGATAGTGGATTCGATCGTCTCATGGAAACTACAGTGAAGTACATGTCTGTTCCTGTCATTCCTTTGCTTTCTGTTATTCTTTGGCTCAGGGCACTATATTACTTTGATGGTGCTGGGACAGTTTCTTTTGGTTTGACTTTATTTTATTAGCAGACTGTATCTAAAACTTCGACTATAAGTCACTCCAAGCCTTTCCGTAAGGGTGAAAGAACCTACTTGGCTCTTTCATGCGCGCAGAGGAAAAAAAAGCAGTTCCTACAACGTCATGTGAGTTTCTTCTTTCAGTTACTCCAGGAACAGGACTGATGCTTCTTGCTCCCTGACACACCGAAACATCTGCTTCGCTCGGGTAGGTTTAATAAGCTGCAGAATTCTGCGTTCCTTTTCACCTTGCGGTTTCTTATTCTTCACTCCTGAAAATCTCTCTCTCCCCTCCAGTTCCCCCTTCCATCTTCATAACCACATAGCAGCACCCTTGAAAACATAAGTGTGGGCAGCATCTTCTTAGTGGTTCATCCCCCAGTTTGCTTTGGAGCAGGACTTGGGTTACTGTCTTTACAGCGTTCCTTGATTCCCTATCCTCTTCATCCCATCTTCCGGAGCAGCAAGAGACAGCTCTTGCAGCACGAGTTGGCTCTTGCAACACTGTTCTCCAGTCGTCCCTGGAAAAGCCGCTTCTGTGTGTATCAGCAGGACTACAGGAAATGGAACAAACTTGTTAGAATTTGGTTAAAACCCCCGGCTGCCTTTTCGGGACTTCTTTTCTCATCTAAAAGCCTCCTGCAGTTCTTCCCAAAAGTGGTGAATTAGTTACAATTAAATTAGTTACAAGTAAATGAGCGGTAAAGTTTGTTCCAACTGTTTATCTCATTTTCCGCGTGGTGAAGCGGTTCTAACATCCACGCATCGCTCCATATTTAGACTATATGCTGTGCAAGAAAGAGATTGATGATTGGGATTATTTTTTTTTTAATAATATTGATATTTAGTCCTGCACACAACAGTCCCTGACTGGCATTTCAACGCTGGCATAGTAGAGGTTAAAATAGAGTCAGGCTGGGTTGTCTTATTTGTGTCCCTTCAGTTCCTGCTGTGGGCTTCATTCCGTTCTTACCCGTGCAGTTTCCTTGCGTTCTGGTAACGGGACCTTTCAGCAG